GCATTCAGTTGGCTTGAAATCCAAAAGATTTAAAAGACAAAATTTAGGAAATAATAACAGTTAGTTGTCCTGTCCTTTGAGTGTTTGGGCTGCATTGACTTCATCCACACCAAAGTGATGGTGTGGATTTAACTTGTTATCCCTACTTAGCAAAATAGTGAACTGAAGCAGGAGAGATGAACCTGAACATTAAGATGGGTTTTGTGCATCGACCCAGCAAGTGTCACCTCCTATGGAAAGCCTTTTATGAACACGACTCTTTCCTGGGCTGGATTCAGTACTTCCCTCTCTGCCAGACCTTTTGTGTCTCATTCCCTCCTAAGACTGTAAGCATTCCCAGGACAGGTGCTCTTTCATGCTTTTGTGCAAGCTCAAAACTTAGCACAGTTTCTGACACACACTAGATATTTAATAAATACAGCGTTGCTAGTACTAACTTTTCTGGAGGTTCTGCCTACTCAGAATCAGAGAATCACATGAGCGTTTATAAGTGTTTATAAATTTCAGAGCACCATACAAATAAACGTTCAAAAAATTGGTGGGGGGGTCACTAATGCTTCATAAAGATGATTGCGTTAAACCTCTAGATACAGAAGGTTTGCACTGAGGCCAAACACAGTTTTAACAGTCTAGTGAGCATTTTGTTCTGGCCTGCTTGTTTTCAATCAGTAGTATTAATGATTCGGAATTTTTTATATATTCTGATTGAATGCTCTTTCTTTTATTCAACAGAAGGCAGACAGAAGTGTTTATGTCCTGATATTTAAAGATCGTAGATTCATACTGTCTAAATTTTGCAACCGGTCCTGCTATCTAAGATGATTCAGTGCAGGCCACATATGAGAGTCACAGGGATATCAATTAAAGATTCTTAACTTCTGCCCTCAGTCTCAGGGTGGGAAGACATAGCCATAGGTAATTTTGATGAATGTATAGGAATGAGAGTCTGTGTTCTAAATACTGTCTGAAAAACATGGCTTAATGTCACTAATAATATTTTTAATAGAAAATGTACTTGTTTCATATTTAATAGCTCTCACGAGCACTGACATTTATTTTGTAACTCTGGTGTATATTTTACAGTCAATTTGTGCTGGTGAGCACTGTGGATACTCTAATTATTCAAAACCATATGGCCATGGCAAGCAGCTGATGAATGGGATACAATTTTCAAGGCTAAAAAAAAATCATCTTTGCTGCGCATGGGAGAAATTTGGGGCATGGAGTTGGCCCTTACTTATTTTAACAGAAATTACAGCTTTCTATGTGGACATTTCATGACTTGCTGGTAAAGATGAGGGCCCATCTATTCAGGCTGCAGCCTTGATGAGTCTCATCCGTTTCCATAAAAGGTTGTCATCCTTGCCATCTGCTAGTCTGATGGTGAGAGTTTTAGAAGCCTCTGCCCCTAGTAACTTAACAGTACTTGCAGGTCAGGCCCCCATCACAGAATATAACCTGGAATGGCCTGATATCCAGCTCTTGTCAAAAGCCTCATTATGGAGAATTGTTTGAAGGACATAAAGTCCAAGTATTTTATTCTGGAGTTTATCCCTGTTCAAGGTGAGCCATCAGAAAGCTGTTTTAAAGATATCTGTCTCGCTGCTCCTACCATTTCTTCCTTTACAAAAGAGAGCTTGGGTTCTGTGTCCCAAGCACGGTGGGGTGGGGGTGGGAGGTTAATGCAAGAATTACATTATCTATGAGGAGCATTGGTATGGATAATTGGGAATTGTTTTTTTAATTTAATAAGTAGTCATAAATGCAACTCTGTACTGAAATGCTACATCATATTAAATGTGGCATCTTAGAAAAGTATGATTTTCCGTCCCTTCTTATAGATCCCATTAAGTATACGAAGTGGAAGTGTATTACTCCTGTTCTTTCACAGCACTCAACATTTCTCTGCATCTTTTACGTTAAGATTCTCACTTTCTGAGTTGTTTCTCCTAACAAAATGAGCCACTTGTTCTTTATCAGAAAAGAAATAATACTCAATTGATGATTTTTTATAAATAAGTCATTTCCTTCTTCTAAATAAAAACTTCTATATTTAAAAGTAAAGCAAAGTAGGCTCTCCCACAGGTTGTGATAATCAACACCTGTATGAGTGGGAGGGCATTTGTTCTAAGATTATTTTATTTCATTTATTTTATCACTTAGGAATATATTACTGTTAAACAACAAAAGCCTAAAGGATGGGTGAAGCAGATATTTATTTAAACAAATCTATATAGGCAAAAGAAAGTTGACACTACAAGGGGATGGATGGAGTTCTTTGTATCCTTTTCTCACTCTGACGTGAAAATTTGTCCTGAGATGTCACATCTCAAGGATTCTAAACTTCTAAAACAGTCTCTGTACTTGTAGAAATTATTTTCAAAGAAGATAGAAAGTCTCTTTCTCTTAGCTTGTTCTGCTCCCCCCACCCCGCATCAGGAGTTACTGGTATCTTTGTGACCAAAACTAAAACTGTGACACCTGACCACTCTTAAGGGTAAGGGAGTTGGGAAAACAGCACTTGCAGCCTATATAGCCAGAGAGATAAAGTGAGGAGACAGCTGCACTGCTTCTTTCACAATTACTAAGAATAGACCAGCAGTTCTTGTAATTTACCCTTAGTATGACTGCTGTTTCGTAGTCATCATTTGGGAATTCAGAATATTTTTAATATGAATCTATTCACAAAAATAATTCCTTTTTGTAAAACAAATTGACACATAACAATTGTACATATTCATGTGATATGGTGTGATTATTCCATAAATCTATGTGAGTAAAATGTATAATTCATTTTGAGCTACAGATTAAATATATATTAATTGAAGTGTATGTTTAATTGTGTTTGTCCATAAGCATGTAATATCAGATTATTCCATTAGTGATTCTAGCTTTGCTTACTTGTTCAAAGCAGTGTTTTTTTTTTAAGATTTATTTATTTATTTGAAAGTCAGAGTTACACAGAGAGAAGAGAGAGAGAGAGAGAGAGGTGTCTTCCATCTGATGATTCACTCCCCAACTGACTGTGATGGCTGGAGCTGCTCCGATCCAAAGCCAGGAGCCAGGAGCTTCTTCTGGGTCTCCCACGTGGGTGCAAAGGCCCAAGGACTTGGGCCATCTTCTGTTGTTTTCCCAGACCATAGCTGGGAGCTAGATCAGTGGGGTCTTGAACTGGCGCCTGTATGGGATGCTGGCACTTCAGGCCAGGGCGTTAACCCGCTATGCCACAGCGCCGGCCCTGGCAGTGACATATTTTTTAAGGTTATGTCTTCTCTCATAAGTAAGTTATGGCTAAATACTTTGAGACCATGTGAAGATACTGTACTTCCTACAAGTTTTCATCCAGTGGATTTTAGATCTTCTGATGAACTTTGCCTGCCTCAATTGCAAAGTGGTGAAATTATTTATCTAATAAGTCAAATTCCCAAAATCTTGCTAATAGGTAATATATTGTAAGCTTTGATGCTTTAAGAATGAAGATTCTTTGTAGCCTTTTGAACTGTCACCAGTCTTCATGAGAGATGAGCAAAATGGCTATAGATGTTAAGGAAAAGGCAATTTTCTACCTAAGTAACATTCCAGGAGTCGTAAGTGTCACAAGGAACAGGAAAGTAATAAAATATTGAGAAGGAGATAAGATTGTATACTTCATAAAATAAATAATTCTTTTGTATAAGAGCAAAAGAGAAAAATGGTGACAGAGCAGAAGTAATGCCATGTCACAGAACAAAAAGAAGCTTGGGTTCAGTGTGTAAGTTTTCCCTTTGAGCCACCCTTTCCTCAGCTTTGTACATAAACAGTAATTATGTTGAGCTCATGGTGTCACTTGGCTCTCCCACATGGAAACCCTTTGACATGGTGAAATTTAACTGATGATTTACTTTACTGAGTAGATGAGGGTGAATATAGTGCCCACGTCTAAAAGCAGGCCTTGAGCAGTTCAGTATGTGTGGTCTGGTCAATTTATCTGTTATGTGACAGAAACCTTTATTTATCAACAGCCCTACTGCTAAGGTTGGAATGATACACATACACACACACATACACACACATCTGTTATGTGACAGAAACCTTTATTTATCAACAGCTCTATGCTAAGGTTGGAATGATACACACACGCACTAGCTCGTATTGAAAGAGGCGACTCAAAATGGGAGAAGCACTCTCAATCCATCTTCTAATGAATTATTACTTCTAATGATTTAATGATATATGTGTGTGTGTGTGTGTAAAGTAAAATTTGGTAGAATTTTCTGTATTTTAGAAAATATTGTAGTTTCTTTTTTTTAAGATTTATTTATTTGAAAGAGTTACACAGAGAGAGGAGAGGCAGAGAGAGGTCTTCTATCGATGGTTCATTCCCCCACTGGCCATGATGGCCGGAGCTGCGCTGATCTGAAGCCAAAAGCCAGGAGCTTCTTCCGGATCTCCCACGTGGGTGCAGGGGCCCAAGGACTTGGGCCATCTTCTACTGCCATCCCAGGCCGTAGCAGAGAGCTGGACCGGAAGTGGAGCAGCCAGGTCTTGAACTGGCGTCCATATGGGATGCCGGCGCTGCAGGCCAGGGCATTAACTTGCTGTGCCACAGCGGTGGCCCCAAATATTGTAGTTTCAAAATCCATCTTTTAAAGAGATTTATTTATTTTGGAAGTCAGTTACAGAGAGGGGGGAGAGACACAGAGAGAGAGATCTTCCATCCTTTGTTTGTCTCCCCAGTTGGTCACAACTGCCTGGGCTGAGACAGGCCAAAGCTTGAAGCCGGGAGCTGCGTCCAGTTCTCCTCCATGGGTAATAGGGGCCCAAACTCTTGGCCTTCCTCTGCTGCTTTTCCCATGCCTCCAGCAGGAAGCTGGATTGGAAATGAAGCTGCTGGCAGAGAAACTGAAGTCCATATGGAATGCTCATGTCAGAGGCAGTGGCTTTACCCTCTATGCTACAATGCAGGCTCCCAAATCCGTTTTTTAAATTATTTTCTTTGTGTGTGTTTTTCTTCAAACTAGGATTTTAAAAGTGGATTGGGTATCACCATCATTCCTATGAATGTAGCAAATGTAAAGCAAGTGGACAGAACTGTGAAACAATCTTTTGAAATAATTACTCCCTATAGGAGTTTCAGGTAAGCTATTTTTAAGCATTTTATGTTTGTGTAACTACAGGAAAGTTTGGGCAGTCCAACTTTAGATTGCTAGTGGTAACTATATCTCTTTATAGGACACTTATTTTCTTTCGTTTCCATATTGTTTAATTTATTATCCAGCATATTAAAACACCTTATAGAAGTGACCTGAATAACCTGCAGAGAGATTTATCTCATGAAATTTGAGTTGTTTCTAAACTCACTGTTACCTCTTCTTAGTAGACTTGGTGACTGTTTTAATTTTTTTTTTTTTTTTTTTGACAGGCAGAATGGACAGTGAGAGAGAGAGAGAGATAGAGAGAAAAGTCTTCCTTTTTGCCGTTGGTTCACCCTCCAATGGTCACTGCGACCAGTGCGCTGTGGCCGGCTCACCGCGCTGATCCGAAGCCAGGAGCCAGGTGCTTCTCCTGGTCTCCCATGGGGTGCAGGGCCCAAGCACTTGGGCCATGCTCCACTCCACTCCCTGGCCACAGCAGAGAGCTGGCCTGGAAGAGGGGCAACCGGGACAGAATCCGGTGCCCTGACCAGGACTAGAACCCGGTGTGCTGGCGCCGCAAGGCGGAGGATTAGTCTAGTGAGCTGCGGCGCCAGCCTTTTTTATTTTTTATTTTTTAATTTTTTATTACTAAATATGTGACAAATTGCTTCACATTTCGATGGAAGTAAATAAAAAGAATGCTGCATTATCTTTAAGTTGTATTATTATTTACCTTTTCTTAGGCTAATCAAATAAAATCCCTTCTGTAATATCAACTTAACTACAGCATTTCCAAATGATTTCTTCCAGAGATTCCCAACTTATAATTATACTAATTTTAGTGGATCTCATAACACTGCTGATTCAAATATTTTAGCATTTTCTTATATGTCTTGTGATAGCTATTTAGTAATTGCATCATTATGACAGCAAACCAGAAAATTTAAAGTACTTAATATATTTTAATGACCTATCATAGAATACATAGAATGTACAGAATAGAAATAAGTCCTCTCTTTTGAGTTCAACTACATTAATTCATTTGTCACAGTGAACATACTGCAATGGTGTACAGGTCAGAGGTAATTATTCTACGACTAACAATGAAATAACAGTTTTAAAAAAATACCACCACATCTGTGTTTATTTTTGTCTGTTGGATTATATCCACTGGCCAAAGTTTGGAGAAAGAAATGATCACGTAAAGCATAATGAGCTGTATTTTCCACATGTGCAGGTTCTGGCCTTAAATGAAACTTTGAGGAGAACTGGAAACCACGAAGGGTTTTTATCAACATTATAAAAATAATGAAATCGTAAAGTATTTCAAACATGTAGTCTGTCTTGGCCATTCACTAACTCTATAGTTTATGTAGCCATTATTAGAATATGTTAGTTCATTATAGCAGAGTACTTTTTGAAGTATTTTGGAAAATGCATACTATCAATAAATGATACAGGGGTTTTAAAACTTCGTGCAACAAAGGAAGCATCTTTTAAGTCCATTTTTCCATGAGCTTTCCAAAATATTGTCATATTTTAAGGAATGTTTATCTTTAGGCTTGGACATTTTAGTGTGTATAATCATTTATTGGGACATGAGTGAGTGTATTACCACAGCACATTCCTTAGCACATTTTAAGTGCTCAGTAAATATTTCTTGAAGGCATGAACTGTTATTTTAATCTTTTATCCATTTAATTAAGCACCCAATGCATACTCAGAATCAGAATGCATCTGAATATGCCTAAAAATGAGTTAGAAATCTGTTAGAATAGTAACCACTTAAAACTTTTCTGGTTTCTCAGTCTCTTAAAGCCATCTGGATGTTCTTCTAATTAAAAAAAAAAAAAGGGGGGAATATTTTTAAGTCTGAAAAAAAAATCAGTTTCTGGTGGTTTTTTTGATATTTAGTTTTTGACTCTTGTGGCCCAATTAGTTAGCAAAATATAGCAATAATCCTGAAACTATGGCAATATGGCAATCTCTTACTGATTTATTGTTTTATAGTGATTGCTGTGAAAATGAGGCCTCTGATTTAAGCTTTTGACCTAGCAAGGCAACTTTTTATGTCCTGGTCAGAAGAATGTGTGTGTTAATTTTGGTTTAAGATATGTAAACAAACTAAAAGGGAATGTAAAAAACTAAAAGGGAAAAGAAAAGATTTGTTAAATTAGATGATTTTTAACAGAAAAGAACCCCAAACTGCCTGGAAGGCATACTTTTCTGCTGCTGTTTAATTTGTGAGTGAAATGAATATGCAAACTGAGCTTACTGCTTAATTGGCCTTTACAAGCAAGATCAATAATGCAGAAACGTTAATTGTTTCAGCTTTACAGCAGAGTCTGAAAAAGAGAAACAAGACTGGATTGAAGCTGTGCAGCAATCGATAGCAGAAACTCTCTCTGATTATGAAGTAGCCGAGAAGATTTGGTTCAATGAGTCCAACAGGAGCTGTGCAGATTGTCAAGCCCCGGATCCGGACTGGGCATCCATCAATCTCTGTGTTGTCATCTGTAAGAAGTGTGCAGGTAATTAGTGCTAAGTTATGCTCATCACTGCTTTGTGGCAGATTGGCCCTGAATGTTCATTGTTGTCTTCTATAATGTGTTCTAACTAATGGCTGTGAAAAGTAAAGTCAGAGCAAGCTTATTCTCTTTAAATCAAATTCAAAGTCATAATTTTAAATTTCTGCATGACTCACATGTAAAAATTGCTTTTTAGGCATGTAATCATATTTTCTGCCTACTCGCCCATGTATTATTTTTTTATTTTAGTCTTTTAAAATTTTATTTATTTATTTGGAAAGTAGAGTTATAAAGCAAGAGGAAAAGATAGAGAAAGATCTTCCATTCTCTGGTTTTAAATGGCTACAACAGTCAGGGCTGGGCCAGGCTGAAGCCAGGAGCCTAGAATTCTATCCGGGTTGCCCACATAGGTGGCAGAGGCCCAAGCATTTGGGCCCTCTTCTGCTGCTTTCTCGGGTGCATTAACGGAGAGCTAGATTGGAAGTGGAGCAGCTGGGACTCAAACCAGCACACAGGTAGGATGCTGGCATTGGGGTGCTTAACCCACTGTGCCACTACTCCCACCTTCACATATGATTTTCTAAAACATTGTTGAATTTTTTGGGTTTTATACTACAACCTGATAAAGCTTAAATCTTTGCATAAAGATGTAGCCATTTTTCCCATTTTTTGTAAGACATTTTTCATATCAAGATGGTTCTACATTCTAAACATTGTATACCAGTTTTGGTATCTTTCATGATAAGAGTACTTATGTAGAACCAAGTCAACACAGTAATGACTTCTGAAAACACCCAGAATCATGACTGCTTTTTTTAAATTTGACCTTATATCTGCCTACCTAACATCTCAATGTGTTAGGAAGCTCAAATGAGTATTCACGTGATTAGAGAGAAGTGGACCCTAGCTTAAGTATGTTGCTAGAGGCCTTAGAGAAAGTTCCAGTAGTACCATACACAGTGCCTCCTGTTTACTCATGAAGAATTCACCTGCAACACCATCTGCTGTGCTAGTCTGGAGAATTAAAAAGACATAAGACATGGCATTGTCTTCATAAATACATAAATAGAAGTTACAGTAGAGTCAAGTACAAGGCTCAACTTTCAATGAGAGACCATAGATGAGGATTATCTAATTTAGCTGAAGCAAAGCCAAGGAATTGTGCAGTCATTATAATTGCTCAAAACAATATTTTTATAGATCTCTAGTCTCCATTTCTTATCCTACTAAGATGAATTTCTTCACCAGCTAATTAATAGCATCAGCCAGGATCACAAAAACATCAGCTTATCACCTTCCACTTTGCATTTTGCGATCCTTTCTCCTCTCTGGCCTTGTTGAAGGAAACAGTCCTGGTGTGGTCCCAGGCCGCTGCTGTCTTTCCACTCCCTTTCTCCCCTCCCCTGAGGAGCTTCATCCCATCACGGCTCTCTCTCCTCTAAGTATTCAAAAATGATTTCTTCTATTTCCTCCTGTGAACTTGCTTAAGTCTGTCTTGTTGACACCAGTGAGCTTTCTAAAAACCTTTTGTTCCTCCCTGGTTGTCATTCACTGCCCATTTTTGCTTTCGCAGATAGAATCCTTTCAATAGTAGTGATCCACAGAGATTTTCTTAATTTCTTTAACTCAGTTTCTCTTCAGCCTGCTGCAGCCATCATCTTTTCTCTCCAGCAAAAATGGGTTTCATCACACTTACAATGTACGTTACTTTCAGTTTCTGTCTTTTTGGCCTTTGCAGCTGTATTTGAGACCCTTGACGGGCGTTTCTCTCTGACCTCCCTCCTCCATCTCTTTCTGAGCTCCCCCTCTCTGTGAGTGTGCACTGGTGACCACCATGATTTTTAGGGTGCTTTTCCTCTTTATGCTCTGAAAACTGTGTGCCACCTTAGGTTATGCTCAGCTCTGTTTCACCATGCTGTCCCTGAGCCATGTTATCACTTGAGTTCAAGCAGATGATTCTCACTCTATTGGACACGAAGCTCGTGTAATTAATCTACGTCCTTGCATCTCTCAACAGTGACATGAAGCCGCTGCCCTCAGCCCATTTCCTGAAAGCACACATTTTCATGCATTCCCCACTTTAGGCACAAGCAGTACTGCCTATCCTACACTCAAGTCTGAAACTGAGAGCCACTCTTGACTTTTCTATGTTCCCTAAAGCCCTCTAAGTTTCACTGGTTTCATCTTCTCATTATCTCCATCTCTCTCCTCTCCCTTTAGTTTCTTCTGCCTGGATTCAGAGTCTGTTCTTTCTTGATAAACCATTGTTACTGTCCCTTTTCTGGCTTCCTACAGGTTTCCAGTTTTCTCATTCATGGTATACCTTTAAATGGTCTTGTAAATTGCAAACCTATGCAAATTCCTGCCTTCAGAATTCTAGCCTTGGTGTTTTGAGTAGTTTCCACCGCAGAAGAGTAAAGGAAAGAACTTCTTGCCTACATAGAGGGAGGAATGAATCCTCACTGCTCATAAGACAACTGATTTGCAAGATAGATCAGGGAACATGCCCTGTGTATCTGTATTCTCCTCTTCTCAGCTTTAAAAGCATTAGACATGAGCCCGCTTGCCCAGGAATTTATATAGAATTTATATAGAATTATTTAATTAATGGTAATAGAACTCTGGGCTCTTACTCCCCAGTGTATCTTTTTTTTTTTCTTTTTTACTTTTTTTTTTTTTGAAAGGAAGAGACAGGGAAAGGTAGAGAGATCTTTCAGTTGACCTGATCTGCTGGTTTACTCTCCAAATGTCCATAACAGCCAGGGTTTAGCCAGGCACAAAACTAGGAGCTGAAAGTTAAATCCAGGTGTCCCTCATGGGTGGCAGTACCCAGCTACTTAAGCTGTTTCCTGTACTCTCCTAGGGTGTGCATTACCAAGTTTCTGGAATTGGGAGTGGCGCCAGAATTGGAATCTGGGCACCCAAGGATGGGAAGTAGATGTTCCAGGTGGTTTCTAAATCCTTGGGCTGAATACCAACCCCCAGGTTGTATTTTTACAAACACGTTTGTTAGAGTTGTAGCTGGTTCGTGAAGGAACATACCTGGGATTATATACACATATATATGGGATTTCAGCAAATACATTTAAAATGCATGAGTTAAATAAACCCATTATAGAAGGTTGTCAGTAACCTGTGATTTCTAACTAATTACCAAATGAGGAAAAATGTAAACATATGTATGTATACACATGTACATACATGCAGACTTGTACATAATCTGTCCATTCATATCTAATACGATAATGTTCTTTTAAAATTGCCGTTTTTATGTCAATTCAGGGAAGACGATTGCTTGTCTTTGTGATTGGTGGTGATTTCTACATAATTTATCACTGCTACTCCTAGTGGTATTGGGAAAGTGAATATTGGTGTTTTAAGTTGAGAAGATATATTTACACATACAAATATATATATATGTATATATACACATATACATATATGCTGGTTTTTAAAGAAAAAGTCTATGTACAAATTGAAATAGAAATACTTTTTTTTTTTTTTTAACTTTAGGGCAGCATAGATCCTTGGGACCAAAGGATTCTAAGGTTAGGAGTCTAAAAATGGATGCCAGCATTTGGAGTAATGAACTGATTGAGGTGAGTCCTACTAACTGGCTGTTGCTGCTCAGGCTGGGGAGGAGGAAGGCCGGGGGTGGTGTGGGTCTCTAGGACCTCTGTGATGAGGTCCCTCACCATATTATAAAAATGGCTTATGGCCTGTTTGATAGTAATGACTCTTTCAGAGTACTTCCTAAATGAGATGGTTTCTTTAAAAATAAAAAGCACAAGAGTTTTAATGGTAATAACTGCATTTAAAGACTTGACAGCTTTTTAAAACTTAATCGAGAACTCTCTCTCCAACTCAGCATGGGTAAAATATTAGAAAAGTGAATGACAACATTGGGCAAAAGTTACTGCTCTTATGGCCATGCTCAGTTATTAACTGTGATTGAGTTCAACTTGCTGTCTCCCATTTCCATTCTTGTTCCTGTTCCACCAGCACTCCCTGGAGACAGCATCAGCCCACCTCAGCCATTGCAAATGAATCTGCCTCAGTTTAAATTACAAAGAAAAATTTTGCCGAAATTTGTGTTGCTTGTGGTTTCTTTCAGACTGAGTTTTTACCATTATGTAGAGCAACTAAACTGTATTAAAAATATATATTGTATCCACTTTCATACTTCACATTCTCTTACAAGTTGATTCTTTCCTGCTTTTCCTTTTATTTTATATTGAGTTATGCTTTAATTTTTAATGTGAGTGAATTTTCTGCAGATTTAAATATATACTATGAGCTGATATATTTTATAATTTTTTTGACAAGCTTTTTATCATCATTGGAAACAAAAGAGCAAATGACTTTTGGGCTGGTAATCTTCAAAAGGATGAAGAATTACACATGGACTCACCAGTAGAAAAGCGAAAAAGCTTCATTATTCAGAAATACAAAGAAGGAAAATTCAGAAAGACCCTTTTGGCATCTCTCACCAAAGAAGAATTAAATAAGGTATTCAGTAAAACGTAATGGTAGACCTATGCTTTCATGTAATTAAACATGTACAAAGATTCCTGATAAGAGGCAAAAAAATTGGGACAGGTGTTTGGCTCAGCAGTTATGATGCTGTTTGGTATGCCAACATCCAATATTGGAGTGTGTGGATTTGAATCCAGGTTATTCCACTCCTAATTCTGGCTTTCCACTAATGTGCACCCTGGGGAAGGGCAGCAGCTCAAGTCATTGGGTCCCTGTCACCCACATAGGAGACCTGGATTGAGTTCTTGGCTCCTGGCATCAGCCTGGCCAAACTTTAGCTGTTATGACATCTGAGGAGTGAACAGGCAAAGAGACTTGTTTCTACATGGCTGTCTGCCTGTTTCTGTCTCTTGATCTCTATGCCTTTCAAATAAGTAAAAATAAATAAATAAGACTTTTCAAAACATAAGAATTAAAAAATCTTTTTTTGATAAAATTACTTTTGTTTTACTTCCTTTTGTGAGATTGTGCCAGCAGTTTTCCACATATTTTCACTTATAGATTCTTTACCAAAAGAGAACTGACTTCCTCCATAACTGAAGTTTCCAACCAGCTCAGATCTATCTCTGTTACTTTTAAAATCTCAAAACATTTCCCTGTTTTAGGGACAGAATACTAACCATAATTTCATCCATATGTTGCTGATAGTGTCACCAAAATTGCCATGGTTTTCTGAGTTTATTGTTACAAACTATGATTTATTAAATGCTGTTGATCTGAAGTCTTGTTTGCTTTGGGCTAAGTGATTCTATTTTCTTGGTTCTTTGTCATGCTGCCCCTTTGGTCTTTTGGCAAAGGATTTTGTGAAATTCCTCTCACCTCTTATTTTCCTGAATCCCTGTTTCCTCTGCTTCTTCTTCCTGTCTTGTGTGTTAGGAGGCTTTTCTGTGTATAGGTTTTTAAAATATATATCTTTAGATACCAGCTTTTTTAATCTTTAGATGATTTTTTCATGGCTTTCAGTTCTTTACTACAGATTTAATGATAATGCAGGTTGAATAACGATGCCTATTAGTAACATGCTAAAATCATGGAAAATAAATTCATTCGTGCAATTGGAAAATATAGATATATAAACTTGGTTTATGTTTCTATTCTGCTGATTTAGTTCACCCCAAATTAGTTTTTCTTCTTCATATATCTTTGGTACTAGTAAAATGAGGTAACCAACTGATTTTCAAAAGTACACAATGCATGTAGGTGCCTTAGCTGGGAAGGGAATGAAACAAGAGAGTGGGGAATCATTTGGTTAGATGTAAATATTTTTTTTTAAGGGAAAGGGTTTATTGGGGAACACCCTACAGACCGGAGTGAAGGGGCAGCGAAGAAAAAAGAGAGAAAGAGAATGTAAGAGAGAAACAGAGAGGAGAGGAGCTAGCAAGGAGAGAAGAGAGCAGAGAGCAGGAGAGGGGAGCTAAGAGAGAAGAACCAAGAGCCAAGAGAGCACCTGTTCAAGAACAGGCCCTTTTAAAACTTCGCGTGAGGGCAAGCAGGGAAGCAGGAGCAGCGAATCCCATTAGGATGGGGGTGGAGCCTGGCTCATGTAGCTGGGCCATGCGGCCACCTGGCTACAACTGCACCAGTTTCCTAACATTCCCCCCTTTTGTTTTTTATAAAGCAGGGTTTGTATGGGACTATATTAGTCCCAAAAAGTCCAGGAGAGGTAGAGGGACGATGATCTGTCTTTAGATCTACTTCCTGCTGACATGGGGCAATGAGGTACTCAAGCCACTGTCTCCTGGGTGGGGAGCCGAGTATATTCTTGTAGCAGCATTTGGTTGACTACCTGGTTGTTGAAGGCCTTTGTTTCATTATAACCTGCTGTAAACACTTAGATACTGTAGTATAAAAGATAGGGTGAGAATAGTAACCAATGATTCTAAGAGTAGCATTAACCAGGTAATGAGAAGATTTCATAGAGGGGAAGAAATGGAGGGAGGTCTCTGGACCCTTGTGGGGACAGTTTGATGGATGTGGCTGAAAGCTGGTCCCAGCCAAGACTGGGAGAAAGGCCACTCAACTTTTGCAAGTAGCGGTGTTTGTCTGTAGAGAAATTCTGAATAATCATACAACATTAAGTGGGGGAGAGGACCATCAGTACCCACAGGTTGGGAGTAGAGCCATTGGTGGTAGAGTAGAGGTTATGAATACAAAGGAATAAGGCTCAAGTGGGCTAGATACAGAGGACAGAGTTGTTAGAGAACGTAAGAAAGGTGCTGTCTAAGCTACAACTAAGTTTTCTGTTTGAGAGGCAAATAGAACCTGACAGAAGGGGCTTGGTAATAGTCAGGTGGGCTTTGAGGCCTTGTAAATTATGAGGCTCAGACTCATCTGTCTCTTCATGTAGCCTACATCCTAAGGGAGGTGTGAACCTCCTTGGGGAAGGCACCCTGTTGACTTCCATTACCTAGCTGGCTTGGGAGGAGAGCTGGCCAGGTAAAGGCAAGTGGCAACTCCAACAGGAAATTTACAGTTCTGCCTGCGATGTTACTGACCCTACTTGGCCATTTCCTCAGTTGCAGTGGTCACTTTGAAAGCTGGGCTGAATGAAGGGCTTTTCAGCTTAGAGCCAATAAGATCTGTGGCTCTGACCTGGGCATCCTTCGACTCCAGGGCAGGTCCATTTCCAGTGATCCAACTCTTGGCGAGCATAGCTGCCAGGGTTCTTCACAAGCTGACTTCTGCTGAAGCCCAGGCTTTCCACATTGAAAGCTACTACAGTGGACTGGCCTGTTGGGTCTCTTTGAGGGCAGATCACTGTACAGAACAGCCATTAGTAGGCTGCCACCCATTGCTTCTGATGCCTAGCTTTCTCTTCCTCCTGGTTTTGTTAAAGCAGACCAGAGGAAGTAAGTCAAGGGGGTGCTCAAGTCCCATCTCTAATCTTCGGTGGCCTAAACTAGAGGTCTATAGTCACAGGCATGTTCTGGTAGTAGTTTTTCTGAGGTAGACAATGCCCATGAGGAAACCTATGTCCTTATTTAAAACTTTCTTTCCCTTTGTTCTGAAAGGGAGGTCTTTTCTGTTTACTGTTTACCTCACTGATGGCGAAGTAAATCTAGTTATGAAATTATAATTTAAGCTCTTATTTTGGCTATGCTATTGCAGACAAATGTTAGCCATCTCTTTTATAAGATCTAAAATCAAACAGCATGAAGGAAAATAATAGGGTGATGGAGAAAGTCAGAGACTATTAAAGTGAAAGGGGTGATAATAAGTTTCAATTCCAGAGAACATAAGGGTCAAGATCACCTAGCAAATTTATACAAAGTCATGTATAAGAATTTAGGCTTCTTGATGCTGAGGTGAAAGGAATTCTAGAGGTCAGCTAGGCCATGGGGAGAGAAGGCGACAGTGGAGCCTCCAGGGCAGGAACTGTGCTTCATCCCGGGAACTCTGGGCTGTATACACTCCACTGCCCAGGGGGACAGCTAAGCAGCAGCTGTCCTGTGGCTGCATCACAGCAGACAGCCTCACCAGCGATCTGTCCAGGTGCACCTTGGAAGAAGGGAGGTAAAATGGTGATTCAGGGCTGAAATTTCAGGTGGCTTCAGAATGTGCAGTCTGAGCTTCAGAAGTAAACAGGAAACCAGTAACGTGAGATGTGATGTGCAGACTGACATGGTGAGAAAGGAGAAGACAAACAGCTTATTTTATTACTTCCAAGCAACAACAAAAAAAGTCTGATCCCTGCAGGTGCTGGTTCTAGTGCGTCTTGCTTGCTCTTCTTTCTCCACTGTCTTCCCCACAAAGCAGAGATCCTGAATCTTCTTTGCACTAATATATTTCAAATTCTCAAAGCACAAATGATAATTTAAATAGTCTATGGCTTCTGATTAGGTTGGAAAAATACTGACTGCATTCAGATGGTGAACATTTAGTGGAAACTTCATTATTTCATGTAAAGTGAGTAGCAGCCATTGTCAGAGTAGGTAAGTGTAAAAATGTCTTCTACAGCATGTAGAATGGATAGGAAGGTTTAGAAGGAACATCACAGCCACAAATGATGAATTGAGGCTTTGCAGTTTTGGGTTGTAATATAAATCCATATGGTGCAGGGCTTTCTGCCTGCTGTCCCATTCAAGCCATGATTATGATTAGCTTCTTTGGAATGAGAAACACAGCCTTCCTCTCATTGACTTAACTGTCGGACTTGCGCTGATTTGAAATTGCTAGAATCCTATTTTCTTCCCTTTCAAGGTGTATTTTCTTTTAACGTCCAGGCTCTGTGTGCTGCTGTTGTGACACCTGACGTTCTGGAAACGATGGCTTTGCTGTTCAGTGGAGCAGATGTCATGTGTGCAACCGGAGACCCTGTGCATAGCACCCCTTATTTGCTGGCCAAGAAAGCTGGGCAGAGTCTGCAGATGGAATTTCTTTACCACAATAAATTCTCAGGTTCGTCCCCATCCCTGTGCTAACCTGCTCTCTTCTGATATATCCCTAAAAGGAGGGAAGCACAAATCCACTTACTTCTCCAATGTGCTAAACCATTAGATTGAAGAAAAATGTAATTACCCAAGTGATAGAGGATGCTTAAGACTATTTATTTTTACATCATTTCAAGAGAAAGTTTAGGGCATACATCTTTTATATGTCTTTAATCTTATAAATGGAAGATTAAAATAGTTAATCCCACATAATCATTTCCACTAAAATTAAATCCGATTTTCATATATGAATAATAAGCATGACTTAAGCACTTATTTGCAATTTTTATGCAAAGTAAGATGAAAGCATCTATATTTATTCTTTGGAAAATTTGAAGCAGCTCTTATTCTAGCTCAGAGCTCACCTTCATATTTACAAGCAGTGGGAAAATAATTGTTTTAGATTTCAAATGTGTTATTTTTGAAATTTTTCTAGATTTCCCCCAACATGACATTCATTCTGAGGGTGGATTAAGTCAAGAGGCCTCCCAGTCCACGTTCCTTTGTGACTTTTTGTATCAAGCTCCTGCTGCAGCTTCTAAACTCTCTTCAGAGAAAAAACTGCTTGAAGGTATCTTTTCTGCTTCTTCTAGATTTTATCAGATAAAACTTTACTACATTATCAAAACAATTGGGTTTAAATTTTTATTTCTTTTTCCCTTAAGATGTTAGATTTGATCTTACAGTGGAGAGATATTTTTGGAGGATTTATAAATGCTTCCAGGCACAGATAATATTTCATGTACTGCAGCAGGGACTTACCACGGGGCTGGAATGCTGAGCGGATTCTCAGCAGAATTCACTGATGTCTGCTTTCTGGGCCAGCTGATTCTGTTTCAGATTTTAGGGTTTATTCCAAAAAGAACCTGGAAGTCAGCCCCTTCTCTTAGGGATGAATAAATGTGAACATGTTAGGAAAAATTGGCAAATTTTCAGTATGAGTTGAGCATCCCCTATCTGATACATGTGGAACCAGAAGGCCTAAGCATTTTAAACTTCACTGGGCTTCAGATTTTGAATTTTTTCAGAGTTTGGAATACTTGTGTGTGAGTGTGTGTGTGTGTGTATTAAATGATATCTTGTAGGTGGGACCCATAAGCAAATGGAATTTGCTTATGTTTCATATATACTTCATATGCATAGCCTGGAGATAGATTTGTAGTGTGTTTTTAATAATTGTGTGCATGAATCAGAGTTTCATGGTGTGGAATTTTCACATCCTGTGGCATCCTGTCAGCACTCAAAAAAGGTTCAGATCTGGGAATGTTTCATATTTGGGATTTTCAGATTAGAGTTGCTCAACCTTGAGCCTGTTCAGGTAGTACCAGGGAGTTCAGTGTGTTCTGAGGAAAACTGAATGTGTGTGTATTTGAGCAAAAAATAAAACTTAAGCATGGTTTAAAAAAATGATGGGAATAAGTTTGATTTTCCAGTACAGTCCAGGTTTGGGGGATTAGCTGAGCAGAGTCACAATGGGCATTATCTATGTACCTCCTTGTGTCAGGCTTGTGCTGAGCATTGGAAATATAGAATCTAACTAAGACACAAGCCTCGTGCTCATGTTACACACATGTGAACTAAGTTGGGCAGTAACTACAAGAAAATATAGTGAGACCTGAACAACTAGAACAAAGATTTTAAGGAGAGGTTAGCTGTACAGATCAACTGATGGTGGGTTTTGATGAACTCAGTAGCCTGGCATTAATCCCTTAAGTGGTCTAATTTAGCTGTATTACTCGATCAAACACAGTAGGATAGAAAACCCACTTTAGGGTGTTAACTCGGATACTTGTGCATTTGAAGTGATTACCTCAGTATAAAACTTATATGTCCCCCTCCCCCTGTACCTCCCAGAGTGGGATTCTATTGGCATTGACTGTATTAGATTTCCTGAAAAGAGACAGAACCCTGGGGTGAGCATGTTCTATGTATATGGCATTGCTCTGGTTACTTCCTGTACATTAGTTTTAATCCTCCTACAAAGTCTGCAGGAGAATTGATGTTAAAACCGTTTTCACAGGAAAAATGAAGGAACTCAGCATGATGCAGAATTTCACACCTGACTGGTGTTCTAATTGTTATGGTTCACCCTTGGTCAACCTGTGACAGCCTGGAGACAGTAAAATGGCAAAGCATTTTATCTTTAAATTTAGATGTGTTCTTTCAGCCCAAAAAAGCACTTGGTTTTTATTCTCTTCCTTTATTCAGTCAAACTGAAAATAAATGACAAATATTAAAGATATTTTTAAAAAACTTTTGTTGCTCTAGACAGTATTTAACCTGTAAGCAGTTCAGTGATAACTAATCAGAGAGAGGGTGATAGTACCTAGATAACTTTGCATTGACTATAACCATTATTAAAATAATTGAATAAGGCCAGTAATGTAGCTGTCAATGAGTTTTTATAAGCTTTCTAGAATGTTTCTTCTAAATACTGGGAGATCATAGGCTCATTCTTCAAACCACTTGACTTTTACAAAGATCAGATATGACATTTGAAAAACAGGATTTTGTTCCAAAAGCTTCCCAATATATTATAAGCCTCTGCAGACTGAAAGTAAACATTTTTTAAAAACTTTTTGAGAATTGTCATTATAATATCTATAAACTGATCAGTTTACTTAATATTTTCTTGAAATAAATGTTTTTCATAATTACATGAGTACTGAATTGAGATCTTCAACAGTTGTTACTAAACCTTTCATCTTTTTAAAACCAACTATGGAGGTTTGGGTTAACATTTATTTCAAAACACAGAAACTCGTGCATTCTCTGTACAGTTATCTCTTGATATCCTTGGGGGATTGGCTCCAAGTCTCCCTTCTGATACTTCAACCTGTGATGTACAAGTCCCTTGTACAAAAGTGGTGTTTGCATGTAGCCTACACAATCCTCCCATATAATTTAATATACATCCCTCAGTTACTTATAATAGTTAATACGATATAAATGCTATGCAAATGACAGTTATACTGTACTTTTTAGGGAATAATGACAGAAAAAAATCTGCACATGTTCGGTACAGATACAATGCTTTTCTTAATATTTTTGATTTGTGGTTGAATACATGGATGTGGAACCCAAGGATACAGAGTATCTACTTTGTGTTTAATTAGGAATGTTTCCCCATTTGGGAAAGTGAATATTAGTATTTTGTCTTGAAACAATTTAATTTGAAAACAATTTAATTTGAAAACAGTTTGAAACAATTTAATTTGAAAACAGTTTCATGGCAAGGTATTCTTTGTCCTCATTCCTTCCACCCAGTTTATCAGCAAATTCTGTCATTTCAAACTCAACAGGGGAGGCTCCTGACAGCATCTCAGCCCCCCGGCACCACTTCCTGCTCATGCCACAGGGCCCTCCTTTTGTATCTCCCTTAGCTTTCCACTAAAATTTTCTCTACAAGCCAGAACCAATGATCTTTAAAAATTTAAAGCAGGCCATGTAATTCTACTGCCCAAGCATATTGACTTTCCATTCCAGAATGTAACCCTGTTCCATATTGTGGCCTAGAAGTTATTGTAGCTTATTTCCCATCCACACCCTACCCTTCATCTCTTATTTCATTCTACACATACATAACCCATGCTGGACTTGTGTCCTCCATTTCTGGAGCATTCCATGTCCTTTCGTGACTTTTGTTGGCCTTTACAGTGGCTGTGTGCTCTGCAAGGCTCTTTTCCTACTGGCGGTTTCTTACCTATCGAGGATCAGTTCATTGCTACCTAGTCAGTGAGGCATCACTGGCTTCCCACAGAGTGTACTTCTGTTGCCATCACTTCTCTTGCAGGGGATGTACTTGTTCATCCCACGAAGACTATTCTTTCTTCACTTATTTGCTTTTCCCTCCTTCTGGATTGAAAGATCGGGAAACATCAGCTCTTTTCATTTTTTCGGGATTATTGAATACCTGGTGCCTATAACAATGTCAATGCATGGTAACAATGTGATAAATATTTGTTGAATGATCATTTCTGTCTGTCTGTTTATCTGAAAAGCAGAGTGACAGAGAGAGGGAGAGACAGAGAGACAGAGATCTTCCATCCACTGGTTTACTCCTCAAATGGCCATCCTGGTTGAGCCAGGTTGAAGCAAGGAGCCAGGAACTCCATCTAGGTCTCTCACTTGAGTGTTAGGGGACCACGTACTTGGACCATCTTCTGCTGCCTTCCCATGTGCATGAGCAAGGAGCTGGGTTGGGAGTGGAACAGCCGGGCCTGCTACTGGCTTTCCCATGTGGATATGCCAGCATCACAATGGCAGCTTAAACTGCTACAGCAGCAGCCCCAGAGTGACCATCTCTTTAAGCATATTGCTAACCAGTCTGAAAATGTAAGTCATATAATAATACTTCAGTTTTGATCTGGGTATAAAATGATACAGTTGGGGCCAGTTTTGTGGCGTAGTGAATTAAGCTAATGCCTATGACGCCAGTTTCTTTTATGGACACCAGTTCGTGGCCCAGCTGCTTCACTTCCATTACAGCTCCTTGCTAATGGCCTGGGAAAGCGGCAAAATATGGCCCAAATTATTGGGCCCCTGCCACCCACACAGGATACCTGGAAAGAACTCCTGGCTGCTGGCTGCAGCCTGATCCATCCTTGTCCATTGAGGCCATCTAGGGAGTGAAGCCATGGATGGAAAATCCTCCCTCCAATACTGACTTTCAAATAAATGAGTAAATCTTAAAAAAAAAAAAAATACAGTTGCTGGCACAAAGCATATTTTGTATAAAAAGAGTCTACTTTACAATGAAACAGAAAATGTTGAACCATCAAGAATCATTCTGCTTTCTGGGTTTATTTTCCAGCCCCCGTTAAGATTACCAGTGGTGTTACTACTGATGAGCATCAGCTTTGTGGGAAAAATGAATTATTTGGAAATATTTAGAGATTAGCGTGTAGTTTTCACCTTTGCCTCTGAAAGGCTAGCACCTGGACGAGACCACTCCATCAGTACTTGTCAGGATGGCCGTAGAGCCTAATGATGAAAAACGAAGACAGACGTCTTGAAATAAAATGCATGTGGTCCTTCAGAGAGCTACAGAGGCATCAAATTGTCAGTTCAGCTTTTCCGGACCTCAGGTTCTTCTAGACTTTGGTTATGAAGACTGATCTGTATTTCTTTCTTCCTTTTTTCTTTTTTTTCTTCTCAGTTTGGTGTTCATGAAAAGAAAGATTGATAGCTCTTGTTAAACCTAAGAACAGAGCTGAATAATAGCATCCTGGGTTTGTTTTCCTTACTCCCCTCAACCCTATTTTGTTCCCTTGAAATCTTACCTAGATTTGTTTGCACAGTGTTTGGTTTTTAAAAAGAAAGTGGTGATGTGGCTTACCAGAAACTCTGGTCTGTTTGTATATAATGTCATGGATTAATGTTGAGGAATCTTGTAGATCTTTTGTTCTATGGATATCCTAGATTGTATTCTTGAGAATCTTTTCTGAATGTATATTCCTATTTTCAGTAGATTTTTTTAAAAAGATTTTTTTTTAATTTATTTGGAAGTACACAGAGAGAGAGAGAGAGAGAAATCTTCCGTCTGTTGGTTCACTCTTCAAATGATAGTCA